GCAAGCAATCAGTTATAAAGACCATCAGATGCAATCATGCAAATTACTCAGATGGAAAAAAAAAATTACTGTAGAAAAATAGTTATGAAAAATTAATAAATTACTTAAATAAAAACTGCATTCTTTTTCATGTAATATGTTTATGAAAAATTAAGAAATTAATTAAAATCATTTAAAAAATTCTACTTAAGATTTTTATTTTCATAATTAATTTTAAAAATGAAGATAAATTTTTATAAATTTAATGGAGAATATGTCATCAAATTAGTATAATATTTTATATATATAATTTATTTCAATAAGAAAAATAGATTAAGTGTAATTCAATAAAAAAGGCATTATGGTCATTTAATAAAATATAGTCTAGGCATTGGGGCATTTTGCAACAAAATGTGTTAGTTCATAGGGTATTATGCACAAAATATTGTTTAGGGGGGTAACTTGCAAATTCAAACATAGTTCAGAGATTATTATTATTATTATTATTATTATTTCTTTTTTCTTTTTTCTTTTTTTTTTTTTTTATTTTTGCAGTTTACCCTATATATGTTTTCTATGTGACAAAAATATTTATTGAATACCAAAAAGAGGCAATACAAATCAAAATGAGACTCTTGAATTAACCAAAGAGCTAGACCATCTTCAAAACAAGAAAGATTAAGGCGGTATGCTTGGTTTAGTTTTTCTTAGAACAATTTTGAGAACTATTTTTCGAATGACATACCAAGCAAGTCTTAATGTTTTATTTGGTTGGATGGATGAGGTATCTTAGGAAAGGGAAGGCATCTCGCTCATTTTTTATTTTGGTTGGATGGAATTGATAGTAAAAAAGATGGATATGGAGTGACAATTTATTTATTGATTGAAAGGAACGGAAATAAATTTTTTATATTATTTTTACCAATATACCTTCATTATATAAAATTATAATAATTTATCTATTTCAAATTATGCAACATCATTGAGAACTCTAAACCAGCAAGTTGAACCACCAAACATGAAAATGTCCCATCCCTCTCTCATCCATCCTTCTCTCCGATCAAACATACCATAAGTCGACAGGACCAGGAAAAAATATTTGGGGGGCCAAATTAGTTAATATAAAATCAAATTTAAAAAATAAAATAAAATACTTAGTAATTTTTTTAACATTAAGAGCACGTGTTTTTATTTTTAAGTGTTAGTCCTATTTTTTTTCTTCTCTCTAATTCATAACAAATAATATATATTTGTGTGTGTGTGTGTAAATAAAGTATGTTGTAATAAGGATTATCATAACAATTAATGGTTATTATTATTATTATTATTATTATTATTATGTTTTACTATATTTTGAATTTATTAAAGCAATAGGTTTGGAAAAGGCAAGATTTAATTTTTATATAAAAAATCACCATTAGTAACAATAATAATGGTTTTTTTTTTATTTAAAAAAACTATATTTTGAATTTTTTTGAAGCAAGATGTTTATTCGAATTTGAAGGGTTATAGTAATTTCATTCACAAATCACACTCAATAATCATAAAGTAAACCATAAATGGAATTTTTTTTTTTTTGTTTTAGAATTCGGGAGAGACAAACTTTAATTTTTATATAAAAATAACCATTAGTAACTATAATTTAGTACCATAAATAGGGTTTTACAAAAATTTTGAAGAGCCAACTTTAGTTTTTAGAAAAAATACCATTAATAACTATAATCAAAGCACATATATGCAAGTTTGTCATAGCTTCTAGGCATAAATTCATAAAATTAGCAATCAACTTCAGCTCTTTTGGGATTGCTTCTCTACTATAGTTTTAAATGGTTACCAAATTTAATTCAGTAGAGCATTTGAATGAAGTTAGAATTGAGAACAGGGCCTTAAAATATGTAAAAAGTTAATTTTACCCTTCATTATTTTATTAATTTTAATTATAAAATATCAAAATAATTAAAAGACTAAACAATCCTTTTCATCTTTATATATATATATATATATATATAGATACACACAACCACACAGGCACCACCACCGCCCATCTTCCCCTCCACCGCCACCGCATATCTTCCCCTCCACAGCCCATCTAAATCAACATCATCGATGGTTACTCTACCGAAGAGGGTGTTGAAGGACCGCCACATTAAAGTGGAAGGTCGTGGCCGGAGAGTCCGCATGCTAAAGGCGTGTGCAGCCAAATTCTTCCAAATGGCCAGAGAGCTCGGCCACAAGTCCGACGGCGAGACCATCCGGTGGCTCCTCTTGCATGCTGAGCCCGCTATCATCGAAGACACTAGTACTGGGCAAGTTTTTCTCCACAAGGTCGAGCTCTTCAAGCCCGTAGTCACCGATTTACTATTAGTTCACCATCATCGGAGTGAGTTTGTCTTCGCCAGACTCAACCTGGGTTCGTCTTCGCCGGACTCATCATCGCCGCCACCCCCACTGTCACAGCCATCACCACAATATCTCTCCCATCTTCTTCCTCTCGAGGGTGTCATAGAGCAATTTCATTATGTCTTCTTCAAATACGAGGTTATTGACTTGCAACGGCACATCTCCATTACCATATCAGAAGGCTAAAATTTATGAGTCCAGCTGCAGTTTAGTGTTTACATGTTCTTAATTAATTCAATGACACATGAAACCCATTTGATTCCTTGTACATTTATTACAGCCTTAGAGGTGGATATTAATTACCCAGATTTCAGTTATCTTCAACACATCTTATTGATTGCCTAGATGATTCATTTCCTTTCCTTGCATTTTTATGATTATGTACATGTGATAGTAGAAGGTTTAGAATAGAAGAATTTCAGTTTCTTTGCATCTCTTTTTCCCCTCCGTTTTGTTTAAATTTTATTTCTTTCTGTGAGTGGATATGATTATTTCTTTTTCCCCTCCTATGTTCTTCCTCTCTCTCCTCTTCACCTCATCTCTTCAACTATGGTTGCCCCTCTCTACACCCAACATCGCAGCCACAACCACCATCCATCTCATCTCTTTTTTTCCTTTCTCCGTTCGGTCTCCTCTAGTGAAGTGTATAATATACACACAGGCGGGTTCAAGTTTGGATTTGAGATGGGTTTGGGTTTAATCCAAAGGTATTTAAGTCAATTAAAATGTTAATTTTATTTCAAAGGGTAATAAGGTCAATTTACCATCTTCAGGGTCTCTTTATCCATTTTTCAAACTTGAAAGGGTGATATTGTCCAAAAATAGACTAACTTTCATCTGCATAGCCTTATTCCAAACCTCACGGGGTGTCTCTATACTTTATCTTTTTTATTTTTTACCAAAGAATTTGGAGCTTATAAAATTGCGTTCTGAGGTTGAATATTTTTGGTAACTCCTTTTCATTAGACAATTTTATCCATTCTACTTTTTATAACGACAATTACATCCCTTCTTTAATAAAATTGCTATTATCAAATATGGTAACATCATATTAAAGGATATTATTGTAAAATTAACAATAAAAGTGTTTAAAAAAATATTTTTACCAAATAAATTAAAAAATAATTTAATTGTGAAAAGTACTTCTTTTAATACATCTAAAATGTTTTTTTACTAACTGCAATTTTTTGACAGCTTTATTAATAAAATCATTTTTTTTCTATTCGAATAGCAATCCCAAACGGAATAGAAAAAGATCCTCTAAGTTAAATATTCTCTAAGTTATCCTAAATTGAATTATTGATATGTAACATTTAAAATCTATCTATGGCTAGTGTTAAACCCAACTAATTTAAAGAAAGTTTGAAGACCGCATCGTTTTGAAATAAGAAAAATTTATCAAAGTTTAAAAATTGCACTGTTTTGAATAAAGAAAAATTCAACATACTCTAACGAAGTTTACCGTCATTATCTCTACAAGCTGCAATGGCCTCTGTTTCTCTTTTAACATGATTGACATTCTCTCTCATCTTTTCTATGTATAGGGCTTTTGGTTGTATTTTCCTAACTCTATCAATATGCATGCTTATATATATCTTTTCGAATCATTACTATTGCCTATGAAAATTGCATGTCTTGCAATCACATTTTCGTCCATCTTAATTTCATGGCAAAGAATATTCATTTTTGGCACGAAATATTCCACCAATCGTGGAATGAGCAAGAGGAGAGAGAGGGAGGATTTTTTTGGCAACGTTAAACGTTGTTAGATTATGATGAATTTCCTTAATTTAAAAGGGTGCAGCTTTTTAAACTTTGGTAAAAAAATTTTATCTCAAAACGGTGCATTTTTAAGACTTTATTTAATTTAGTTAACGTAATTTAACACCAACGGTAGATTGATTTTAAATGTCACACATTAATTCAATTTAGGATAACTTAAAGAATATTTGACTTAGAGGATCAATTAATCCTACTTATTAATCTTTAACAATGATCCCATTACCAGCTTCTCGGCAGGAGTAGATATTGGATTAGTTAATCTTACCGTATCATTAGTATGCCTATACAATCAAAATATAAGTGAAGCTTTTGAAAATATATGAAGCTTTTATATTTGTGTGGATCAATTTCATTGATAGCTTATTTTGATTTGGGTGGACATGCCAATCAGATTATATTTTCGGCTCAGTCAATATATTTTCCTCCTATAGAAGGGTTAAAACTTGTATCATGTAGTCCTAACCATTATTTGTCTCCTTGATGTTACTTAGGGATGTATTTTACAATAAAATAAAATTTAATTTATTATCTAAACAAGGACAAAATAGTATAATATTATTTTTTATTTCAAATTTTATTTTAAATGCAATTTGTTCTAAATATATACTTTTTTTTTTTGGAAGGTTTGTTCTAAATATATACATGAAATTCCAATTCTAAAAGGAATTGGTTCCAAACAGTGTATGTGTGTGTATATATATATATGCCAAACGAGGATCAACACACTTCGTCCTCTACTTTGTCTCTTCCTCATAACCTCAAACCCTAAAAAGAAGAGACCGAGCGAATTGGAGAGATCAGAAAGAGACACTCTAAAACAATTAATCAATCCAGCGGCAATGGCCAACATCCCCGAAGATTTGATAGTCGACGTTCTCTCCCGACTTCCAGTGGAAACTCTGCTACGGTTCAGGTGCGTTTCTAAAAGATGGTGTGCCCTAATTGACTCCCCTAACTTCCTCAGTTTGAAACTCAATCAATCACTCGCAACCAACAATAACTTCACCCTGATTTTTGAAAAAATGAAGGTCGACGGTCTCTATTCTTTAGGGTTTGACTCTCTTGATGATATCCTAAACCGTGATGACCATAATATAGTAAAATTTGACGACCCTTTTCTGAAAGCAGACGAATTTGATATAGTAGGTTCTTGCAATGGCTTGATTTGTTTGATATCTTTGGATGTTAATGAAGTGCTCATGTTGTTAAACCCATCCACCAAAACACACCAAATTTTACCAACTATGCCACCATCTTCAGACATTTGTGACACTGTTCATGGATTTGGGTATGATCCCGTCAATGACGATTACAAGATTGTAAATGTGGCCACTTTGTTTGATGATGAGGTGAACCCTTTGGGCTCTGAAATAACAGTTTTTAGTTTGAAATCGAATGTATGGAGAAGGATTAATCATCGTTTCTCTAATCTCCTTAGACTTGATAAGCATGGTGTGTTTTTTAATGGTGCTTTGCATTGGGCGGCTAGTCATCAGCCCGGGTCACATGAGGATAATTATATTGCTGCATTTGATCTCGGGGTTGAGAATTTCCGGGAGGTGCAGCTCCCAAAAGATTTTTGGTCGGTGACTTTGGGAGTTTCGGGTGGATGCTTGTGGCTGTTTGGTATTAATGTTAATGATGACGACCATCTGGAGTTATGGGTAATGAATAATTACATGATGCGGGAGATGTCGTGGACAAAACATTCTCTATCTTTCTTTTCACATGTGTATGAAGATCTTCATGTTGGCCAACTAGGAATTCTAGGTTATTCAAAGGGTACCACCCAAGTTCTCCTCGTACAAATTAATTTCAATCTTTTTTGGTTAGACCTCAAACAGCAAACAGTCGTGGATCTTGGCTTTCATTCACGGGGGTTTCGGCCACTTGCAGCAGAGATTTACATCGCCAGCCTCGTTAAGCTTCCCTATGATCAAGGAACTAATATTCGATCTGTAGTTACTATTGTAGTTTTATTTTTTATTTTTTATTTTATTTTATTTTATACTTGGATTTGGTATTCTGCTTGATTTTTTAAGTTTAAGAATATTGTTTGAAAGATATATACTTCCATCAGATTAGTAATTGTGATTTCATGATCAAACTTTCAGTTTTGTTGCGTAAGACTTGTTAATGGTGAGAATAACTGTACTATAATTTATGCTGATTGTTATCTCAAAGGCAACCTAGAATGCTTTTATAGTTCTGGCTCGTCTCAAAAAGGAAGTTTTTATAGATCTAATTGTATCCCGTGCGGCTCAATCATGAGAACATCTCCAACGTGTAAAAAAGTTGTGTGTATGATGATGTGACAATGTGGTAGTGTATCTTAACAAACTGATGGAGATAAAAAAAAAACACATCATACGTGGTAGTGTATATTTTATACAAAAATATATTTTAACAGAATGCTAGTTGTATATATATACATGTAAAAATATATCCCCTAATAACAATCAACCAGTGTCATGCCTGAACCCCACATAGGGTTGATTCGTTAATGGAATGTGAAATAGGGAGGAGAAAGAAAATATGCTGATGTGGCTATATAAAAAGATAGTATAAAATACACAACAATTTTACATATTGGTGACGTGGTAGTGTATCTTAACTAACTGCTAGAGATAAAAAAAATTTACACACAATGTATATTTTACAGAAAAGAATATTTTAAGAGACTTGCATGTGCAGGGCGGAGTTAGGATTGCAAAGTAAGGGGGGCTAAAAATAATAAGAAAATTTGAAGATGAACACAATAATTCTTATGATAAAGATATGTTATATATATATTAAAAAATAGACCAAAAAACGATGATGTTCTCATATATCAAATCAAGTTTTTCGGGGGATAAAAATTAAAAATCACCTATAAATAAAGTTTTCGAATCTCGGAGAGATTCTTTTTCTTCTACATATTCCCTTCACTAATTTTTTATCTATATTTGTTCAAAAAGATGAGAAATTAATTGGACCCCCTCTCAAGTCTCTGCAATTTCCTTGCTAGACCCCCAAACAGGCAACCCTGTGAGGGAAAATACCACCGCGTGTTGAGAGGAAGTGGCTGAAGAATAGTAAAAATTGATTACATATCATATATGGATTGGGCTGATAGGAAGAAGAAGAATAGTATTATGGATTGGGTTGATAGGAAGAGAAAAAATAGTACTAAATATTGATTACATGTGGATTGGGCTGATAAAAATAGTAGTACTAATTTTCTAAAAAAAATTGGACCTGGGCTACAGCCCAGGTTAGCCCATTACAAGCTCCGTCCGTATTGTGCTCTGAATGTGATGAATATCCTTCCTCTTTCAAATGCAAAACTAAGCAGTCTAATGTTTCATATATCAGTGAGCTTTCGGGATGACATCTATCTTGAACAATAAATGCAGGACTCTTCCCGTTCACTAGAAAATGACTTTGCCAAGGAGATTTTGTCACTTGATTGCACTTCATAATTTTTCTAATTGCTGCAACTCCATCCCACCTTCTTGTCGATGCATATATATTGGCCATTTCTACATATGGAGCTGCTGCTTGAGGCTCCTCTTCAAAAAGATGATGAGCTGCATACTCACCTATCTCCACATTTCGGTGAGTACCTCATACGCCAGCATCAGGTTTGACAGGCATATTTTGAATGAATTCCAATGCTTCTTTTAGCTTTCCTCTAAGTCCAAGAAGATCAGCCATACAGGAATAGTGGTCTAGCCCTGGATTTATTCCATATACTTTAGTCATTAATTAAATCAAAGCACTCCCATCCTTTCTCGAGGAAACCTGCATGACTACAAGCCTGAAGAACAGCAAGGAATGTTATGTGGTTTGGTTTCAGTCTGAATTCCAACATATGAAAGAAAAGGTCCAAGGCTTCTTTGAATTCTCCATTTAGAGCACACCCTGCAATCATAGTTGTCCATGAGACAATGGTTCTCTCATGTATGGTACGAAAGAGTTCCTGAGCATCTCTTATACTTCCACACTTCGCATATATGTCTATCAATGCATTGCACGCCATTATGTTCTTCAACCCATTTGTAGTTGCGTAAAGGTCAACCCATCTCCCAATCTCAAGTGCTCCAATTTGGCCACAACCCGAGATCAAGTAAAGCATAGTAACCAAATCAGGTTTCTCGCCAGATGCTTCCATAGATTGAAACAACACCAATGCCTCATCCAAATCACCTTTTTCAGCATTCCCACCAATCATGGCAGTCCACGAAACACAAGTTTTGTTTATTATGCTATCAAATACACATCTCGCAGAACTAATATCTCCAGACTTGGAATACATAGAATGATAGAAATCAGGGTATTAAGTACAGAAACATCCAAATCACAACCCAGTTGGATCGCATGAGAATGGATCTGTTGGGAAACGTGCTAGTTTTAAAAACTTTTCGAGGGAGTTTGATTCATAGATCTTGATTCATCACATAGAGACAAGTTTTATGCAAAAATAAAATATGATGTATTATTCAATTAACAGATTGAATACTTACATCAAATGTCTGAGTAAACCTTTAAATCTTTCCTCTAAAGTGAATGTTCTCACTTATTGTAGATCCCTTAGCAAGATGCCTTCTCCTTAGATCTCCATCTTCTTGGTAATTGTTTTGGCTTTAGGAATCACTCATAAGCCTCCATGGATGACCTTTGAAAACTAGGCTTGTGGGAGTCTCCATTAGATGAGAACATAAACCCTAATTTTCTAGAGAGAGAAAATATACTCCTTTTTCCTTCTACTAAAAACCCCCCCAAAATATACATAGACCATGTATATTTATAGGCAACATAAAGATAAAGAAAAGGAAACAACAAATCCTTCCCAATCTCTAATTCATATGTCTCAAATCTAATATGATTCCAATATTAAGTTGGGCTATGAGTGAGAATCTATTGGGCCTATTATTTTATTGGCTACAATGAATTAATAATTGGCCCGGTCCATGGACCCAATTCAATTAATTCATAAATTAATTTCTACTCCACTAAAAGAAATTAATTGAACTCCAATTAAATAATAAATAACCTCTAAGTCAATATTGCGCTTTGACCCCTCTATGCATAATTAGTTATCGGATAAATAAAGCCATCAATCCGACTACTTAATTAATATATTTATTTTAGTACCTTTGATTATTTCTGACTTGATCACAATAAAACATTTGTTTGACAAAAATAATAATTTAATAAATAAATATATAATAAATCACACAAAGGCCTTCGAATTTACTTTGTGATCAACCATAATCAATACAAAATAAATACAAGTAGTAATGATGCAAATATTGAAAATATAACCCTTTAACTATTAATTACATAACTACCCAAGGTGTCGGTCTAAGGATCCCGAAGAATCCGCCGAACAAATCAAAGTAATTATTAATTAATAAAAGAGTCTATAATTTTCTCATGCTTAAGAGTCAAATGCCATGACAATGATATGGAGCAATTGCATACGACGGCTCTCGCAATATATCTCAACCTAACACGGATTCAGTTTAAATCTTAATTAGTTATGAGTCCATCCATAATTATCGACTATGAACCATTTATAATTACTATTTATATATCATTCATTGATTGCCATCAAATACATATATATATATATATATATATATATATATATATATATATATATATTTCTTGTAATCACAGGGACACTATCAATTTCATAGTGAATCGAAATATAATACATTAAATTCACCAATTATATAAATCATAAATATTTCAGATATATCAGGAACATATGTCACTATATCCAGATAGGAATTTGCTATGCCAGGGCATATAAATCCCAACAGCTCCCACTTGCCCTCATAGCTAATTCAAATTGCATCTAACTCCAATGTTATCCAGGTGATGATCAAAATTATCGATCAATGACACCTTTGTTAATGGATCAACAAAGTGGTGTTCCAATGCAATGTTCTAGCCACGAATATATTTTCTTGCCGGACAATATCATGTAAAACATGATACTTTCTCTCAGTGTATCTTGTTCCTTTATGGAACCTTGGGTCATTGGTTTGGACTACTTCTGCACTATTGTCACAATATTGCTCGATAGGCAGGGTAGTATACTCTACAATCTCTAAATCAGTGAGATCAAACCCAAAGGCTTCCTTTGCTGCCTTTAAAGCTGCAATGTACTCCACCTGTAGGTTTGAGTCAGCAGTTGAAATCTGCTTAACAAACTACTAACTAATTTCCCTTCCATTGAGTGAACTTACACTAAGTCGTGAACCTCATAGTATCTACTTCTGATTGAAAATCAGAACTAGCATACCTGACTAGGACCATATCATCACACCCATAAATGAGTATGATATCATTGGTTCTCCTTCGGTACTTAATGATATTTTTCACAACAGATCAGTTATCAAGTCCAGGATTGGACTGATATCATCTGACTATCCCTACCATGTAGCGGATATCCTGTTTGGTATAGACTATGGCATATATGAGACTCTCATATGCCAAAGCATATAGTTCCAGTCTCATTTACTCAATCTCCTCTGCTAGTCTTGGAAAACTACTTACTAGAGAGAGCAATCCATATCAATAAAGCAAGAACTCATTCTTTGAGTTATGCATACCAAACCTGGTCAAAACTTTATCAATGTAGGATTATTAAGATAAGCCTATTTTCCTTTTAATCTGATCTTGCAAAAGTTTGATCCTAGGAATATAGCTTACATATTTAAAATCCTTCATTTCAAAATAATTGAACAACTAACTCTTTACTGATGACAAAAATTTCCATATCATTCTAAATGAGTAGGATGCCATCAATATATATAGAATTAGAAAAATAATGACATTCCCTTGTACACTCATGATTTATTCACTAAGAAATCTTCTGGTATCTTTTTGTAGATTAACTTGCCTTCTATAGGTTTCACCCTACTAGAAAGTTTTACAAGATCCTAGATTTTATTAGAATACATATATTCCAACTCTGATTTCATAGCAACTTACCAAAACGATCTATATCCATATCGGTTCACGCTTCCGTGTAGCTTACTGGGCCCAACTCATGTTTAACAGGGATGTCCATAATGGTCTCACCTAAAAACATGATTCTGTCGGATTGGATGAAAATTCTCCCACTACATCAATGTACCGATGCAGGAATCTGTGTACTAGATGATGCTGACACATCAATAGGGAATTCATCTATAATT